CCATGTTTTTATAATATATGATGTATTTCCTTTATAAACCCTTTGCATACCCCTCCAATTCATGAGTTTATCTACTCTCCTTATGAGTCGAACTCAAAAGCCTATTCAGGGGTAAACCAAACTTCTGATATAACAAATCACTAATGCGCGACTTTCGAATCATTAAAACTTATAGTTCTTCTTGTTATTTCCTTATCATAACAATGTCTCCTCGTAGATCAGCATGTAGAAACGCAACCCCTCAATATGACCCCAACATAGTGCAATCTGCTATCACCGCGGTAGTAACAACCGCACTGTCTCAAGCAAACGTTAGCAGCGCAGCAAGGACTGAAAATAACCAACTTACCAACGCAACCCCATTCCTACAATTGGACACTGCCACATTGCAAGCTACAGTTATAGCCACAGTGGTAGCCATTCTAGCATACAATAACTCTGTCTACTCAAGCAAGGAAGGAAACGATATCAAAAATCCTAATCAAAGAGAGACAATCGAAGCCACCTACCAGTAGCTACCTACAAGAATACCGCAAGGTGCGAAAACAAGAACATGAAACGAAAACCCTAGAGCGAGAGGGGAGGCAAATCAACTCAAAGAAATGCCAAAAAGCAATCAACAAACCATACTCCTACACCCAAAAGGTCGTACAACGGCAACCAGCCTAAGTGCAACCGATGCAACTTTCATCATCACGAACCCTGCCGTGAAATGCATTGCGTTAGGTGCAATAGAAAGGGACACACCATCCGCTACTGTAGAGAACTAGCCCAAACAACTACTCCATCCACAAATATAGGAGTAGACCGTGCTTGTTATGAGTGCGGAGTAGCGGGACACTTCCGAAGGGACTGCCTGGAGTCAAACATCATGAATGCTGGTGGAGGAGGACGAGTATTCACAATGCGCCAAGAGGAGGCTATTGCAGACCCCACGGTTATTCTGGGTACATTTCTCCTTGATAACTTATTTACGTACATTCCATTTGATAGTAGGGACGCAGAGGAGTTCCGTGAGTCGCAAGTTTAAAAATCTACTCGAACAAAACACCCCAACCATTAAACAAAACTTTCATAGTAGTAATAATGGAGATAGACTAAAAAGCACTAAAAACACACACGTAGAATGCACTATTTCACTAACGAACATCTTACAATGAGAAGTACCAACATCAGCATTCGACATGGATTGGTGTGGCCCTACTCATACCAGTTCCATGTGTTATAAAAGACCCTTTCACTTTAACCATCGACTAACGAAACTCAATCGATTTATAATGACAAACCCGACGCAAACACCAATTGGTTCCTACTTTCAAAACCCCGAAGTACTCATGTGAGGAATCTTTACAACCTTCCCGTAGTATCCCCCAACAGATCATTTAGAAATACCTCAACGAGCAACAAACTACCACGAAACCCCGAATCCCAAGCCCAAGAATAACAAACGAAAGTTCTAGGCTAAAGCTAAAGGAAAATCACCCCCAAGAGGCGAGCAAAAGACAACAACATGTGGCAACCTTCGCAGCCATGACATCTGTACATCCTACTACCATCCCTCCTGGTATCCCAATTGTCCCTACACCAGCTAGACAGTATGTCGGAAACCTACCGAAATGCAATAAGTGCGGCTTCCATCATCTGGGTAGTTGTCGTCCGTTACACTGCTTTAAATGCAACAAGAACGGACATACTACCAATTGCTGCCGGACTCGGACCCAACACATTACCTCAAACACCAATGTCGAAATCTCTCAAATATGCCATCTATGTGGCGTAATGGGACACTTCAAGAGGGACTGTCCAACAGAGAAGGACGACGGCGAATCCGGAGGAGTTTGACCTCAGAATGGAAAGAAGCAACGAAAGAACCTACTATAGTATATGTTCACTTCCAATCGTCAGTATTATGCATGTCTTTTTAAAACATGTTTAAAACTAGTGCAACTAGAGTCTTATCTTGCGGGATCCCGTTGGTATAGGGATGCTCGTACTGCGTATACTTACCTTTTGTAGTATACCTTATTCGCAGCAATAGTCTTATAGTAGTCTAAAGTGTTGTAACTCTGTTGATGGTTGCACGGTTGTGTTTTGTCTGTAAACATCTTACGTTCAAATCTAATGTCTTTAAGTTTCCTTATGATTCCGACATTATCATATGACTTGATTCAATTTGATCCTCACAAAAATAGCTTCATACGTACATCTCTTCCTCCGAAATTTTTTTTTCTAGCAAAGCCATCATTCAAGAATACCAAAGTACTCGTGCATATAGCACTTATTGTTTCTCATCCTTTCCGAAGAAAAATTCAACAAACCGCCCCGAAGTACCACTCGTGTAGTACGTCAAGTTCAATCCAAAGACCCACAGTTTCAAGCCTATTTATATACGGCTCATATACCCGAGACTATGATTGATGAACCTGGTATGTTGTTCTACTATGAACTCCAAGACGGAGACTTCCCAAGACTACGAGTGATCGTGCTGCCATGCAAATAAACTTAGAAGCCCAACGCATGCGCTTTCTGTCGATTGGGACAAGGAAGACAGATAGAACAAAAGTACCTATCCTTTTCCCTT